TCTAGGAGTGGTTGTTCTTCTCATCCATTTCCTAGGATCGTAGAGTAACGCTACGAAAAGTGAAAACATCTCTTGAAGGAGACGTCCAGAAATACCAGGCTTATTTGGCTAGTCTGGAATCTCATGTAGCTGTCCTTGATCAAAAGCTGGAAAGTGTTAACAGTGAAGTTGAGACAGCAGGTAAGGAGGCCTTGATCACAGTCAGGACAGTGTAGCTAGAAATAGTCTTCAAGTTGTAGCTCTTAGCTTGAGGACAGAGGTTGATCCTTGGAGTAGGATGATGCTACAAATAAGCTTTCTAGAATGGATTGCTAATAAAGATACTTTTTGTCTAATAGTTCTTTCATGTCCATTTCACAAATGTTTTGTGAGCTTAGAAATGGAGGTAGAAGCAATGAAGCAGGAGAATGCCCGGCTCCGGCATGTCTTAGATAACCAAAAGTACTCAGCTGTGGACATTGAGAGAGTAAATCACGAGAGAAATGAGCTGCAGCAAACCATTAACAAGCTGACCAAGGAACTGGAAGCAGAAGAACATCTGCTGTGGAATGAAGAGCTAAAATATGCTAGGAATAAAGAGGCGGTATGTGAAAACCACACTACACTCAGAGGTGGCTGTCAGTTGTCATCATATAAGCTTCAAATTGGAGTCTTGATAGTTTATTTCCTATATAATCTAACACCACCATATGTGTATCTAACCAGACAAAACTGACAAGAATGGCCTCTGTTTACAAGATCGCTGCAAGGTGTTTCTCTTTTTTTCCCCCCTTTTTTCTGTTTTGCACTTAATGGAAGTGTATTTTTCTTTTTTCTCCAGAAGAGATGTAGCTAGAATATGAATCACTGTCAGCTCTCACTGCTATAGCAGTGATAAGAGCTTTGATAACATTAGCATGCCGTTGCTTTGATAACACAAGAAATTTCAGACTAATGTTAATATTTCATAGCAAGAAAGCAAGGCAAAACTATTATTTGAATCAATAGCTTTGCATGCATTTAGGGCTTGATTAGTTCTTTGTGTAGAAGTTGTAACATCTTTCAAGGGCAAAGTTCAACCCCTTCAAACAGAATGAAAATATATAGTCCTGTAGGTGATGGGATTTAAAAGCTTCTGCTTTGCCAGTTGGAGAACTAAAGAAAAAAAGTTTCAAATATATTTGGTAAGGTTACCCTTTATCAAGCACTTGTATTAACTTAAATCCTCCTGTGCAAGTATGAAGTACATAAAACTGGAAAAAAAAACCTGGGTACTTTGTTTGCATATAAATAGCACTCATTAATTAGAAGTTAGAGCATTTAATAAGCTTAGTTTAGAGGCATGCTCAAGTTAGTTATAAGGATGTGTGGCTGTGTGGCATTTCCTGTCAAGGCTAATGAGAGAAGGCATATTGACCTGATGACTGATCATTGGTTTAGTGTTATTTTCCAGCAAGTTTTTAGTTCCCTGTCAGGTAATTCTCAAAAACTTGAGGCAGGAAAAATTATGGCAGATGAATCTGGAAAACCACAGGTGAAGCTGTTCAGTGTCAGCCACATACCCTGAGAAACCTGGCTATATTTTATGTGTGCTTCTTAAAGTACTGTACGAATGCTTCTCGCAAAGCCTTCCACTTGTATCTCTTCTATGATTTCTGCCCTTGTCTCCTCTGAGCAGATTGATAAGCAACTGGCAGAGTATCATAAACTGGCTCGAAAGTTGAAATTAATTCCAGTAAGTGCTAAGAATTCCAAAGGCCACGACTTCGAGATTCAGTTTAATCCTGACGAAGGACCAAATTGCCTACTCAAATACGGAACTCAGATCAAGGTAAGCAGAGTCAACACTGAAGGCTTTAGTTACCACTCACAAAAAAGATGTGTTTCTTTGGAAATGCTGGAAAGGTCTCTGTCTCACAATGAAATATTGTTGAGAAGTTTGTGTGATGAGTCACTATAATGATGTTGTATATGAAAGATGTTTGGGTTGGGAGAATGCAGTAGCCTAAAAAAAATAGAAAGAAAAGATGTACTGGGGTGCATCTTGGTTCAAATAAGCAAATTGCATTTGTCAGATCTTCTTGTATGTGTATTACAGGTTCCCCTCATGGAGATCATCAACGAGACTGAGGAAGAAATCATTAAAGCTACTCAACGGAAAATGACTTTGGAAGATACTTTGGAACAGGTGTGTTGGCTAATGAAGATTAGGACTAAAATACCAGCCCTAAAACCTTATCTGCTGCTTTCATTCAACCTTTTGCATGGGTGAAGTGTGGTGTGGTGGGTTGGATTCTTGAATTGGTTGGGGTTTTTCTGAGGACAAGTAGAGGGGGAGAAGCTGTGAGAAAATTTAATTGTGATGGAACCTAAAAGTTTTTCTAGGAATTGGGGACTTCATTGGTTGCAATATTGCCTATTCCCTGAATTAAATTTTATCAAGGTTACATATATTTGACCATAAATATTGGAAATATTTGTTTTTAATAAGTTGCCCATTCCAGTCAATTGTGTGGCTTACCATCACTGACAAATTGTCATCAGGAAGATTTTTAGCAATACTTGGTTTGCTGGTATCCCAGCCTAGCCTATTTTGTTTTTTGGGAGCTAGCAGGTGTAGTTTGTGATGGCATCTATTTGTACGTTGGAATTCTTTCTGAACCATATTTCCTCGGTTACATTTTCATCCTAGGTGAATATAGAGCTAGCGGACAAGAAACGCAGTGTGAAAATGCTGACAGAAGAAGCTGAAAAGCTAGATGATCTTTACCAGCAGAAGCTTAAGGTAGAACTTCTTACAGCTTGATGACAAGTCATCCTTAATCATACCCTTATCCTTAACCTTTGTGTTTATAGATAAGTTTTGGGGGTTGCATTTTTGTTTGGGCTTCTGCCTTTGCCTTCTTCCCTTCCTCTTACAGGATTTTTTCATTCTTTTCAGAAAAGTTATTTGACTGCTACCTTAACTGAATCAGTTTTCACTCACTTGTAAGAGAATCTGGCATCATACTGTAGCAGATCCTGCAAATCTTAAATTACTGCATCCATTAATAAAAGCAGCAGCAGCAATCATCTGACCAGAATCTGCTGTGTCTAATTAATTTGTATATAATAAATACATTTACATTTTTTAGTAAACACGTTTAATCAGCCTCTGTAGAAAATAAGGAAATCATTGGCTGGCCAAAAGTACGTTAAATTGTTTTAATGATCTCAAACTGTTGCTTGCTTTAGCTTCCTTTCCCAGCACAGGAGCAGTCCCTATCCTTTTCCCCACTTGCAGTTCAGCAACAAAACACAGCCCTCTGTTAACAACAGAGTGGCTATTTTGGTACCTCCCAACTTCTCTGACAACACTGTTTTGATGGGGCTGAGGTGCCCTGCAGAAAAATGTTCTTTGAACTAAGCCAGTGTTTACCAGATATGCTCTTGTAAATCCTAACTCCTTTTGCTATAGCCATGAAACAGGGTTGTTTCACTGCTAATACCTGCTGAGTTGGCTAAGGACAATTAATTTAGTTTCTATTTTTCAAAACCACATGAAATTTAGCTTTTGCTCTGTGCTCTTGCACATACTTTTCTCTAAAGTTAAATTCATAAAATATACAGTTGCCATTGGATGTTTATAATAAGACAGTCATGTAATTCCTCTTGTGATTTTTAAAATGCTGTTTGTAAGTCTTAAGTATTAAAGTTATTTTTTAAGGATGATGGTTCAGTAATCTACCAGAATTGCATGTCGAGTTGATGACAGAATTTTGTTTGGTTTTGTGTGTAGCATCAACAGTGTCATTCTCCTTGAAGAGACGATTGCTTGGAATTGCACTCTCGGACAAAAAGGAAAAGCTGTTTTCGCACTCAAATGTGGTTATATTTTTTTAACCTAGAAAGAGTTGCTCACGATGTGCCATTTCTAAGCTATATAGACTATCTAAGCAACACATTTGGAGTTTAACTGTGAGGGGAAACTAGCTGCAACACAGACCTTTAAATATGGTCAAAGGAATAAAGAGATGGTTAGGCTTGTTATGGGATGGGGATGATACAGAAAATAGCTGAAACTTTATGTTTGGGAGGGATATCCTTGGGTTTCCTTTTTTTCAGTTCTGAAATTCAAGTTACTTGTGTGAGATTTGAATTCAGGCATTAGAATGTAATCAGGTAATAAAAACAAGAAAAAAAAAAATTAAATTATTCCTGAGCAATGCAATTTTTTTCTCCTCTTATGACTATAGGAGATAGAAGAGGAAGAGCAAAAATGTGCAAATGTACGGGAATCATTAGAAAAGCATAAACAGTTACTTGAGAGTGGTGTCTATGACGGTCTCAGTGAAGCCACAAATGAATTGCATGATCTCCAACGACAGTAAGACTCCTAACTTCCATGTTTGCCTTGTTTGGTTTGTTTTTTAAGGATAAAGATATTCTCTTGAATGTAACATAAAGTTGTTTCAGCATGTATCCATGTCAGTGTATCAATTTCACAAGTTAACAACTGAAAAGTGTTTCTCCTCAACACTATTTTGCTAGAATATTTGTCTGCTGTATCAAAACTCCTGTTTTCCATGTAATTATATATATATATGGTTGTAGCAAAGAAATTAGTTCCCAAACTTACATTTTATACCTCGAAGTCTGGAAAGAGTATTCGGACTTTAAGGTACATTGTTTCTTCTCAGTTAGCAAAATACAGGCTTTTTTTTTTTTTTTTAATTGAGTATTACTATATTCTAACTTGGTCCAAATTAATACTAATAGAAAAAAGTATGGCTAAATATGATGATAAATCAGACTTGAAGTGTTTGTTTTAAATGTTAGGAATTCTTTAATTTAGGACACAACCTTCTGAGTATCTTTCCCTTTTAGATATCAAGTTGTTCTGCAAACAACAACAGAAGAGAAGAGAAAAATTGGTGCTAACTTGAATCATCTTATAGAAACAGTTGCTACTCATATAGCATCTATAGTGGTAAGCTAAAATTTGATATCCAGAATTAAATCTCTCTAGAGACATTTGCAGTTAAACACTTGGAAATTAGAACTTACTCTTTCTAAGGAAGTATCAGTTATTTAGCTGCTGCACTGAGTCCATGAAAGTGTTTAACTGAAATCAGTTAACCTCTGCAATGACTGCTTAAAATGCTTTAGCAGAATCAGTACAATACTGACAGAGCTAATAAATACATGATAATACATGATAGAGCTAATAAAGTTTTCTGTACCTCTTTTCTAGAAATACCTTGATGAACAGAATGTGAAAATTCACAGAGACTATGAAGAATTCATGTCTGAAGATCTATTGTCAAACTTGACCAGCATCCTAGACAGCTATAAAAAGAAGGCTGAAAGTCTCTAATCACTAGAAGGATGGAGATAAAAATGTTGCATTTCTGAAGCTCTTGTATGGTGCCTTCTAAAAGGATGGATACTACCTGTATTTAGCACTGAAACTGGTTTTAAGTGGAAGGAAGTAGTTACGAACGTTTTTTTGTTGACACAAATACATGAAAGAAATAAAAAACATATTTGCATTTTCTGAAGAAATGCTTTGCTCAGACTTTGTACTTGCAATAGCACATGTATACATGATGGGCACGTGCATGACAGACAGTTCACATCCTTCTCCAAGCTTCATTTTACGAACAAGACCAAATGTAAAATGTCTGTCTCCTGCTTGTTCAGTTCCCTATGAAACTGCACAGAGACACCTCTTACATGAGTAAAAAATCAAAACCTCTTTGGAGAAGATGATTATTCCTTATCTAGTAGTCTTGTAAATAGTCTAGAAAAAGAAACAGTGCCGTGGCACTGTCGATGACAGGGGTGCCGCGACTACCCTGAAGAAGCCGTCCTGAAAAGGACTGCCCAGGGGCACAGGCACGTCCTCTGCCCGGCGAGTGGTCTCAGCTCAGCGGCAGCGTGCAGGCGACGCAGAGAGGGTGACTAGAGAGCTGTATGGCATTCCACTGAGAAACAGCCTTTATTATAGCAGGGCCCTCAGTGAAGGGAGCCAGTGACAGCAGCTCCTCGAACAGGGGAAAAAAAAACTGGGGTATTTATAGGGAAGGAGAGGGGCGGGGGAAACTGGGATACATGTAGCAGGGTGGAGTGGCAGGGGAGAACACCAATGGGGTGCAAGAGTTTAACAACTAACTCAAAGACCTCTGGGAGTGACACTTTTCTCTCTCTGAGACAAAAGTGCCTTGCCTAGGGAGAATCCTTCCAAGCGAGAGCCGGGCTCTCCGGGTTGGCCGGTTCTTTGGCCTCCACAACATAGCAGTTTGAAAACCAAGTCTTGTCTTTAGCTCCTCATACTTCCAGATGAAACTTCATTGAACTTCTTGAATATGTGTACCAGAGAAAGTTCTAAGTAGGACATCATATGAATTCTTGGTGTTTATCTAATCATTTAGATTTGGTTCATGTTCAATACATCAAAATGGTCTAAAATGTCTGTATTCTTCTTGTTAGGCCAGTTGGACAGACTCTATTTGACTTTTCTTCCTCAAGAAAGTAACAGTGAAATCAGCGTATGGGCAGCTTTGGTCTAAAACAGTTTGAAGAAAGCGGATCGATGCTACGTGAAAATAGTATCTTTTTATCTATTCTGTGTATAATTTTGTGTTTAAAAAAAAATAAATAAAACCCAGCATTCATATCTTGGATAGTTTATGATGGTATTTCCTAATGAAAGCATTGAAGTATTTGAGAGTTGTCTCTAGAGGTCAGACATTCAAATATACAAAGATAAAAACAATTTTGCAGCTGCTAAAAGGCTTTTAGCAGCTGATAGGTAAAGGAAGCTGCTCCTTAATTCTACAATATTTGAATGAAACACTGATCCTTAGGATATACAACAAAACTTGAGTTAGACCATCTAAACACGGACTGCAAATACGAACTGAATTGTCTAATTCTAGGCTATTTCTGCAGAATGAGTTTAAAACTCAGTTGTCCTTAACATAGTGCATGAATTTTCTGGCCCTAGTATGATTATTTTGTTTCAGATATGATAATGATGACATGATTTAAGCTTCTAATTTTCTGTTCCTCTTATACTCCAGAACTTTAATTTGACAGCTAGAAAAATCTTCTGACAGGTGGGAAGTTCTTCTACTTTCTTTTGTTGTCCTCTTTTCTGTTACCTTTACAGACTCTTTGTTTTCTGTAACAAACTGCATCCCACTTCCTTGTCTTTAGAAGTTTTTTCCTTTTGTGAACTCTAAAAATTTGTTATCTAAAGCAATGTAGTAATCTAATGTAGCAAAACTATGAGTCATATATGAGAGCCACATTCCTTTAAAGAATGTGCTTATTTAGGGGCAGTGCTCTCTGACTCCCCTGTACCTCTTTGTCTCTGCTTCTATACTGATCTTGTGTTTCGTAGCATCTGTAGGTTCCTTGTTGTATGCAGTAGTCAGTTGATTCAATGAAAGCAAATAAGGGGCATTTCCAAGGACTTTATATTAACCCTAATGAACACTGGTCAAAGAATCAAAATCACAAAGCCTTTGCTTAATGCACTGGCCAGTGTAATATTCTGAAATTAAAGTAGTCCAAGTAATAAAAAATAAAAAAAAAAATCCTTGTTAGGAACATTAGCAACGTGTTTTTGTTATTGGTCTGTATGTCAGTTAAGCTACACTGCTTAGAACCACCTCAAATTTGGATCTAGGTTCTGTAAAATACTTTGGGGCTGTTTGTTGTAATCTAAGAGATCAATACCAGCCAATGTTTTACTAGGTACTGTGTCTTCACAATTTGAAAATGGAGGGAATTTTTGAATCCGTGTTGAACATGTCTCCTCTGTGATATTGGAAGTCAGGTAGTTATTTTTGATTTGTGTTCTGGACTATGGCTTTTAAATTTAGGCAGTAGGCACTAGAAAATAATTACTGCTCTTGGTTTTGTTTCTTTATTGGAATATAAAGTCTTAATGAGAAAGTACCACAGCACCTGTACATTTCAGTAGTATGAGTCATTTGTAAATTTTGGCTTTTTTATGGATACAGTTGCCTCATTTAGTGCTCGTGTACCTTTTGTACAGCTTAATGTGTCAAGTTTTTGTATTCTTACAGTCAATAAAACTTCTTATGCCTGTTTCTACAAAGGACTGATTCTTACTGCTAGTGTGGAAATACTACATAAAATCCCAATTAATCTGACTTTCCTCATGGAACTAGATAATTATCCTAGCAGCAGATACTAATTCCCTGTCTCTCCTTGCTGTTGAACATGCATTGTGTAGAGGAAAAATAAAATACAGAAACATCATCTTCATGCAAGCTATAGAGGAATAAAAATTGCTTTAACCTTTTTAAAAATAGATGGCTTTTTAAAAATTATTAGGAACATAGGGCCAAGCTGCTTTGACAATGATTTATGTGGTGTCCTTTTGGCATTAATCTCACCAAGCAACCTTTTCATATTACATAAATATTTCCTCTATGCTACCACTCTTGCATCTGTTTCATTATTATTATTATTTAGCTGTAAAAAATAACACTTGATGCTGTAGAAGCATGCTGGAACTCTGTAGCTTTTTTCTTTTCCCTAGGGTATGTTGGTTTTTTCCATATTTTCTTGTCTCATCACCATCAAGAACGTGGTAGTTCTTCTTTTTGAGTAATTCTTGAGTGGATCATGTAGATTCATTCAGGTTGGAAAAGGCTTCTAATTTCATGAAGTCCAACTGTTAACCCAACACTGCCCAGTCCATCACTGAACCATGTCTTTGAGTGCCACATCCTCACAACTTATAAATGCCTCCAGGGCTGGTGATTCAACCACTTCTTTGAGCAGCCTGTTCCAATGCTTGACAGCTCCTGCTGTGAAGAAATTCTTCTTAATAGCCAATTTAAACCTCCCCTGCTGCAACCTGTGCCTGCTAAGGCTTTAACTTTGCAGTGTCTGTTCAGCTCACTTGTATGAGGCTTCTGCAATGCTCTTCATTGGTTTTGCCAATGTAAAGCGTGGCATGCTGTAGTAGTTTAGATTTGCCAATTTCATTTCCCGGCCAATGCACCAAATAAAAGTCGTAGTTTTAAAGCAGTAACTAAAAAAAAAAAATCACTAGAAAACTTACTTATTTCTTGCTGTGAGATATGGATTAGAACAAGAGCAAAACAGGCTTAAAATTTAAGCCGGAACAAAGAAAGTTTATTAACAAAAACTGTAAGAATAAGAAAACAGAATAAAATCTCCAGAAACCCTTTTTTCTTCTAACTCCCCAACTATTCTCTTGTTCACATGACAACATAAAGACAAAAAAATAACCATGGTGGTTAAAACAGTCCCAATTCTTACTATAGTCCTTTCATCAGTCTTTGTAGAGAAACAGAAGTCTTCTTCTGCTAATCTATGGAGTTTTTCACAAGAAAACTCTTCTTCATAGCTTTCTATTTTTCTGATGCCAGCTGCCCGGAAATTCTGCCATCAGTTCTCTCCTCCCGTTTCACATCACTCTGAGGTGTGCTATGGGTCAATGAGTTTAGGGATGTCATTTTCAAGGATGAGTTATTCAAAGGCAAAAGTTCTCTTCATTTGTTTTTGTGAGCCTCTCTGGAAACAGAAGTTTTCTCTTTGCCTCTTAAAGGCCACAAATCTTCAACTATTACTTCTTCCCCCCTGTTCCAGCATCTCACAGGATCACAACCACTTCACCATTTGCTCAAAATCCACACTCTGAACGACTCCATTCCTCCCAATATACTCTCTCATTAATTAAAGGAGTTTTTTTTTCAAACACTACTGTCCATCTCTATAGCTTTAACAGAAAAATGTTTCAGCTTATTAAAGCATCTCCTTATTTTCTCTTCCCCCTCTAAAATTTAATTCCTTTCTTCACTGTCTTTGATAGTTTTTGGTTGTTTTTGGATAGTTTTTATGTGTTTTTACATGTTGATCACTCCCTCTCTCTCTTCCCCTCTCTCTAGAAAAAAAAGGATTAATCTGCAAGTCTCATCCGGGTGGTAAAAGAGTTAAAGTCTTGCTCAAACTGCAGATGTTCATGGTGTCAGGTTTCAGTTCTGCAGCAGAAACTGCAAACTGAGTCAGGCTGGCCAGCCCTGCTTTTCTCCCCCCCAACCCCTCTGCAGCCTTGTTCTGCCTGATGGGGGCAGGGAGGGGGGAGGCTGAGCCAGAGCCTGTTACCTCTGCAGAAGCCGGAAACCAAAGAGAGCCAGAAATTCCCGGGTTTACATCTTAAGGTAGGTGTTCACAGGTTTATCTCACTTTTCAATGGTTAAAACCACTGTCAGTTCTCAGAAATGGCCAGTTATTGGCCAGGAGAAAAAACTCCCATCAGCCTCCAGCAGTTTCAACTTCCCTAGCTCTCAAAGCCAGCCTGAAAGGTGCTGAACTTAATATATAACATAAACCAGGCCATTTGGGGATACCAGTATCATAAAGTCGCCCCAGGATAAATATTTAATGCTTCTGATCTTATTGTATTTTTATTTAGATGCATCTATAAATGCACTTGGCTAAAGGGACTTGACATTTTTTTAATGCCAGAGGCTCAGATAATCATGGCCAAAAAAAGAAGAAAAAAACCCCTGCCTCCAATTTTGCACTTGATGCAATTAAGAAATAATCAGTGGACCTGGTAAAGTACAGAGCTACTTCACAATTAAATAAAGTAATTTCTAGTGCAATGCATACTGAGCGAAAACAGCTCAAGAGGAAAAATGTTTTGGTCAAAATTAAATTAATAGATAACACAAGGGATACAAATTGCTACGAAACATTGGATGAACTGCTCATGGTGAGATATGCTGGGTAGTGAAAGGCACAGGAACAGCTTCAGGGGAGCAAACTACAAAAGGGCTGAACTTGATCGTGCATGTATTTAGAAAATGTTTCTTGTATTGGTAACAATCTTGCATTGTCCAAGCTTTTCTAGATCATAAACTGGTGAGTAAAGCAACATTCTTGCACAGAATGGAATCTTTCTTTCTCAGATACACTGATAGTTTCCTGTTAGTGTAGAAATCACGATACTTCCAAGGTATATGAAAAAGGTAAACAGTGGTGAGAATATATATTTAGTATCACATATTCCTGAAAATCTTACTATGATGAGTTTACATGTCAAATCTTGGGACTCTTTCACCTCTCTATTGCCTCCTTGTGCATTCTATGTTATATTTCCAATAGCCTCTACAACAACATAAAGCTGCAAAGGGTTTCTCTGCTTTTGACTCTTCTAATTCCATGCAATCCCTGAATGGGCCTCCCAAGCTAAGGAAATAGGATTTAACTGCAGGTGTGAACATTTGTATGGTTTTCTTCATTTCCCTTTCAACCCATCTCCTATCCCACAGGTACAGTTGCTTGTGCCACACACCTCTTAGGTGACTGCGGTAAGTCACTTATCTCTTCAAAAAACTGTGTTTTCTTGCTCAAATATATCTATTTGGGCAAAAAACAGTGTTTTCTTTCTTAAACATGCCTATTTGGGCAGAAATTTAGTTTTGCATGTTACTCAGTCTTGGTGACGTGAAAAGTTGTAATACCTTCCAAAACAAACACAAAAAACCCCAAAGTTTTAAGTTTCTCTCCTCAGGCTTTCCCACAGATTTTGGCTACCAGGTCCTGGCAGCAACCCACCCAGAAAAGAAAGGAAGGTTTTTATCCCAACACCTGTGTAAGCGGGCAGAGGAACTATTACAACCCTCAAAGTATGAAACCCTTATGGTACAAAACATTGACTCCTAGAAAAGAAACCCTGACTCCTAGAAAAGAATGGATAAATCAAGTAACCCCTTGCCCTGGGTGGCACGAAAATCTCCATGACACAGTCAGATGACTACTATGAGCCTTACTTAATAGTTATCCGTACATAACAGCTAAGTCCTTACCTTAAATCCAGTCCCCTCAGGATGTGCTAAATAGAGAGGAAAGCCCGGCTCTGCTCTAGGGAAGCCGTGCTCCTTCAGCGCTCTGGAAAAGACGCTCCTCAAAGCAAGAGGAGCCCCTCCTTGCTGTGAGAGAAGACAGGGCTGCTCCTCGGGATTCTGGAAGCCGCTCCTCGGGATTCTATGGAAGCTGCCCCTCAGGAGCTCTGGAAGCCGCGGGGGCTCTCCCTCAGGGTTTCCCGCCTTCGCGACGCGCGCGCCTCCCCTGAGAGTGCGCATCCCCCAGCGCAGTGCGCTTCTCCCCTCAGGCCTTCGCCTCTCCATAGGTGCGCTCCCCTCAGTGGCACGCACGTCACCCCTCGAGGGCGTTCCTCCCCTCAGGTGCGCTTCCCCCTCCTCAGGTGTACTCCCTTCAGCGACACAACCTCCCCTCAGGTGTGGTCCCCCAGGAGTGCTCTTTTCCTCGGGTGCGCTGCCCTCAGTGACACGCACTCCCCCCGCCTCAGCTATGCTCCTCTAAGCGACACAACCCTCCTCCCAGGCGTACCCCCTCCTCAGGTGCGCTCCTCCCCTAGCGACACGCTCGTCACCTCAGGCGCGCGCCCGC